CCCAAGCGCGAGGCTGTGATCCACGTGCGCCTCGGCGACCTGCAGCGCAGGATGTACCGGAGGCTGCTGCAGTGGCTCCAGAGCGCACGCGACGCCGACGCGAGCGGCGGCGCGGGCGGGCTCTTCAAGGTCTTTCAGATCGGCAGGCGCGTCTGGGCGCACCCGAGCGTGCTGCCCATCGCCGTCGCAGAGGCCGAGGCGGAGGCTGCGCGCAAGGCTGACGGCGCGCCTCGCAAGCGCGGCCGCCCGCCCAAGTCCAAGCCGATGAGCCGCGCATCGGCGCCTGCGGCACGCGCGCCCGCGGCGGCCTCCACCGCGGCGCCGCCGCCCGAGGTGATCTGCTTGAGCGACGAGGATGGAGACGCGGCGCTGGACGGCGCGGGCGAGGGCAGCGTGGAGAGCCCCGAGGAGGCCGGCGCCGCGGCCAACGTCGAGACGGGTGGCGTCGACGGCTCGGGCACGGCGACGCGACTCGCGACGGACGAGGTCGTCGATGAGTCGGCGCTCGTGCGCGACGGACAGGCCGACGACGCGGTCGCCCCGCTGCTGCGGATGGTCGAGGCCGAGCACGACGATGCGTCTGCGCTCGCGCTCTCGGGCAAGATGGTGCTAGCGCTCGGCATCGTCGAGCGCGCGGCCGCGCGCGGCGAACGTTCGCTCGTCTTCTCATCCTCGCTCGGCACGCTCGATTTCGTGGAGGGCTCGCTCCGCTCACGGCTCGGCTGGCGGCGCGACCGCGAGTACTTCGTCATCAAAGGCTCCTGCAACTTGCGCGCGCGTGCGCAGGCGATCGCGGCCTTCAACGGCGACCGGCAGGCGAGGGCAAAGTGCTTCCTGCTCTCCACCGGTGCGGGCGCTCTCGGCGTGAATTTGGTCGGCGCGAACCACGTCGTGCTGATGGACGTGTCGTTCAACCCGGCGGTGGACGCGCAGGTCTGCAGCCCTGAGGTTGCGGCAGCTCTCTTGCACCCCTTGAGCTTCGCCTTCTGCGCCGCCCACGCAGGCTGTGTGCCGCGCGTTCCGGTACGGGCAGACGCGTGCTGTGCACGTGTATCGACTCATCGCCGCGCAGACGATGGAGGCGAAGATCTACAAGCGGCAGGTGAGCAAGCTCGGGCTCGGGCGGACGGTCGTCGACGACGCCGCGACGGGGCGGCACTTCGATACCGCAGAGTTGGCCGACCTCCTCGACTTTGGCGACGACGGCGGCGGCGAGAGTGGCGCCGAGGATGATGGCGAGGGCGGCGCTGTCGGCGCTGGCGGCGGCGGCGGCGGCGGCGAGGAGCTCGACCCGAAGTCCATCCTCGCCGAGCTACTCGGCATGGGCACGGGCACGCCGCTCGACGCGACGCAGCCCGCCTTCTGGGTGCGAGAGCGCCACCTGCACGAGCCGCTCATGGAGGAGTGCGCGGAGGAGAAGCTCTCCCCTGCGGAGGCCGCGCTTGCGGAGTGGGAGGAGCAGACCGGCGCAGCCGCGGTGCGCCGCGTCGGCAAGTGGCAGCAGTACCGCACGAGCGCGGGTGGCGACGCGTGGGTCGACGTCGAGACACATACGCGCCACGACGCGATGCCCGAGGAGGTCGTGCGCGAGCTGCAGCAGCAGATGCAGCAGGCACAGCAGCAGGCACAGCAGCAGGCACAGCAGCAGGCACAGCAGCAGATGCAGCAGGCACAGCAGCAGGCACAGCAGCAGGCACAGCAGCAGGCACAGCAGCAGATGCAGCAGCAGATGCGTCAGCAGATGCAGCAGGCACCAGAGAAGATGCAGCAGCCGCCGATCAGAATCATGGTTCCTTCCAACTTCGTACAGGGGCAGAGCCTTAAGATCAGCACAACATCGGGGCTAATGACAATCCCTGTGCCCAGTGGCACTGTCCTCACCCCCGGCCTCTCGCTCAACGTCCAGCTTCCCCCGGGCGTCCACTTCCTGCCGCCGGCGCCGCCATGAACACCACAGGCACAGCACTACGGAGGGCGAGCAAGTTTTGCTTGTTTGTGGCAGACAGGCGAAGATGCAGTCATCCAGCAGAGCCTGGGTGGTGTGCGTACGGTTTTAGCTGTCTCTCCGCGCACCTGCGCATATCTGAATCTGTGACCCAGGGCAGGCACCCAGCACCCTCGTGTGTGCGAATTAGTTGACGCGAGGAGATCGAACAGGAAGTACAAGAGGGGTCTCCCGCATACTCTTGTATTTTTCAGATTTCAGTTTTTTCACCTACAGTGTACTGAGTACTGTGCGTTATGTATGTCTCAAAGCACAAAGGCAAGCGCATCTTACGTAGCATGTGTCTCTCAAGAGATACATCCGCGATCCAGCTCATCAGGATTTCCCCGCTTGCATCATATCATAGTTTTCGCTGGCCACGACCGTCGGGTAGGACGGGTCGGCCCGGAGTATCAGAGTAGCCGTCGTGGTCGCGGCGAGCAGCGCCGGCCACTCCGGCGCCGCGTCGGCAACATGGGAGCATGTCCACCGCCACTTCGCGGTCGCAGCGCTGTTGTCGCCCAAAACGCCGCGATGTACCTCTTTTCGGGCAAACCATCGAGCTGCATGTCGATTTCGACTTGACGGCAGCATGGAGGCATCACGTCTCCATGCGCCCGTCAAGTCGGAGCCAGTCTGCGGCGATCACAGCGCTCACCGCAGGGATCGGCGAGCTTTCAGAGTCAAGCGATTGCGCGAAATCCCACAGTGGTGGATTTTGGTACGCACCGCACCCCCTACTTGAGCACTTGAGCACTGGATAGGGTCGATTCCGCATGGTACGGGACCCCTCGATCGTCTCGCCCTCCCTCCCTGGTGTGTTCATTGGGGGGGGGGGGGCATAGCAAACACGGTACAGGATCGAGGTGCACGCTGCAGAGGCAGTGTCATCCCCCCTCTCTCTCCCCGACGGCGATGGCGGTGTGACCGATCGAGCTACAAGAGGAACTTATTCAGCGGGATCCGAGTAGACCAGTGCACTAAAGCCGTACCTCACTGGGCCTGAGATCACCAGAACGCTTCTCGTCACGTCCCCCTACTTACAATATACAAAGGCAAGCGCATCCCTTAGCATGTCTCTCAAAAGAGATACATCTCCGCGATCCAGCTCATCAGGATTTCCCCGCTTGCATCATATCATAGTTTTCGCTGGCCACGACCTCGACGTAAGATTCTAAGAAATGAGATACAGTATTGGACTTTAGCGACGACTTCACACACAACTCTTTGGGGTAGGGACTAGGGTTGTCAAACGCGTTAACGTAACTTTGGGCCTAACAGTTGCACTATCGTGTTG